TGTAATATTTTTTTATAAAACGCACATGTTCAGCGGTTGCTAAGAACTCCATGTTGTAAATGGTAAATGGTGTTTCAAATGTTAGTTTAATTAATGTAAAAATTAAACTTACGTATATCTTATAAAACATTGTGAATTACAGACTATTCGACATATGTTCTTGCAACAGTAGTATCAAATCAGTACTGTGTAATGAATATCCTAACACATCTTTGGGTGTGCCTAATATAGGAAACCAATTTCATCGACATGTTAGTTTATCTATATTCACAATATGTTTTTTTTAAAAAAAATTACATACTATTCGGTCAAAAGCATTGAAACCAATTTTTGATATTCAGACAGACAAACAGACAGGCACACGGATATTACTAAATCGTGTCATTTTATCATTCTAATCAGAAATATATGACTTTTACGTGCTCTCCGATGTCTCCTTCAGTCATCTACAAACATTTTGACAAATTTAACACACTCTTAGTTCTCTGTGGCATGTAGGGTATAAAAAATGTCAGTTGTAAACTGGAGCCATAAAAAGTGGTGCTTCACATTTGAAGCAAACAATACTCCTTGAACTGAAGCTACTTGAACGGTACAGGCACATAAACCTGATAGCGGACCGAAATGCATTTTTCACTGCAGCAGTTGCAGGTGGAGTAAAACTTTTGTGAAATTTGATCCAAATCGATTGCGCGTCAATGTCTTGCGATATGTATCAAAAGGATAAGCGGTAGGATTCTCTAGACGGCAAGGATAGCATCGGTCGTAAAAATAAAAATAATTTAAAAAACATTCACAAAATGTGTGTGACTTTTTTAAAACATTTTTTATCTTCTTCCATTTTTTATTCTTCGCATTCTTTTTATTGTAGTATATCCTGATACAAGTGTCAATGAAGTGCGTCTCACCAATCGCAGGTATACGTGCACTCGTACTTGCACTCGTACCACTTCTGTGTGACACATTTCCTTTATCTAACTTTTATATTCTGACTCGACTTACGACTGATAAGATGTCTTTTGGCGCCAACACGTTGCATCATTTAATGCATTTGTTATGTTAGAGCCTCAGCGCTCAAGGAGGTTGACTCTTCATCATTCGCAATCATGTCAAATTGTCAGCCTCACAATTAACTTGAACAATGTTGCCGCTTCCGTGAACGTAATTGTTACTTTTATTTCGATTGTTTTTAATTTCTTAAAATAAAAAATAAAATAAAATAGAATTTTTCTCTTTCGTATTTATTATTGAAGCAAATAGAATAAGTATATCATTAATGAATCAATGGGTATTAAAGAAAGTAAGTATTTGTTTTTATCTTCAGCGAAGTTAATTAGTCTTTAGTTGTGATGATAGTAGGTATTATTTTACGAAGTGCGAGAATTTTCAAAATGGTATAGAGTCACTTCGCAGAATATAACGCAATATAATTAAATTAAAAATACTGTTTTAAAAATTAAAGTAAAAAGCAAATGTTTTATTATTCTTAGAAATTAAAGCAATTAGGCAGGGACAACAAAGTCAGCCTTTACTGGGCTCCTAAATATGCAGGGATTCAGTGAAAGTTGCACATCGATTAACTCAACATATTAGAAAATCCATGACAATAATAAAAATTTGCTTATAGCTGTCGTAAGGTATAGGTAGAGATGTATGCATAGGGCGATGAGCTAAGAGATCATAAAATATAAAAAAGACAAAGACAATTTGTAAATCTTACAAGTTTTTTTGAAAATAAATTTACTATTAAGCATAATATTAAGTTTTTGTAATTCTAAAAATGTCAACTGGGTTCTTGACCGGGCATTGCAGACCCATGGGATACCTAACAGGTATACGTATAGTAAGAAACCTCATCTACTGATTTTGTGCAGAAGAACTTAAGTAACTTACGTAACAAAAACAAAGTCGCTTGGAATATAATATGTACTGATGCACAAATGAAAAAATATTTAATACTATGTAAAGAACTATAGTAAAGAGCGATACTATGTCCAGCCGATATCTTTAAGTTCTTGAAAACAATAAAACTTTATACTCTCCACGATATGCCTATGAACGTTTTTGTTGAAGAATGTATGTTAGTAGGTAGCTCTCCGTTAGGGACTATCTTGTCACTATTAGACATTACACTCGCACTTACTTCATCTGTTAGCATAACACTTTAAAAATGACAATGAAGTCTAGTATTAATTATAGAATGGTCTATGTATATTACGAACAGTGTTTGGGAACTTAAAGCAAAACATGTAGAACTGCTTGTAAAGCTAAATGAGTCTAACAAATCTCAGCATATTGTAAAGGTTTCATCGTCCCAATGTTATGACCCTTACTTATTTCTCTAACATTCTATTAACATAGTAACCTACTACTACTATTAATCTACTAACCTACATATGCATGAATTCAGTTAGAGACTTTCTATTAGACATAAACTTCAAACCCCTCAGAACACATATGTAAAGAATATGGAGAATATGCAATGTGGACGTAGCTAGTACTTGTTTGTCTTACTCTTGGAGGCTCTAGGACATCTACCATCTCATAAGCGGGTAGGGCCTTCCCAAAAACAATAGCTACATTGATACAACTGCAACGAAGGCAAATGAAAACATATAGACATGAAAATATATATCGTCAATTGACGAAATGTCGACCTGCTCTGAACGGCCTTTAGACGAAATTCCAAATTTGGTAATTCCGAAATGCCAAACCGTCGGACATCGGGTTGATTTTAGTGCGTGTTTTTTCTATTTACAAATCTAAAAGTTGAAGCATAGCACTAGCATCAGTAAATATTTGTATGGAAAAAATAACAATTAATTATATATTTTTTTTAAAATTTGTTTTAAATTATGAAACTCTTTTTTTAAATGATTTTAATTAAAACATATCTTCTATACTTTCAATATATAGCCAAGCAGAAACACAATAAACTTGCTAATATCATTGAATATTTTTAATATTAATAGTAAATTAATATAAATCTTATTTCTAAGTATATGAAATAATATTATATGTTAAAATAAATAAATGTACAAAAAATAATAAAAAATTAAAAATGTCGTACAATAAATGTTGTTATACACAAAATCTAATTTAAAAAAAAATTACAACGATTTGAGAAAATATTAATTACATTAAAAAACAAATGTCGAGAAGAGCCAAATTTTGCGATATGCCGAATAAGTCCAGAGCCATTGCTTCCATTGCACAGTCATCGTTTACGCAGTTTGTGGCATGGCTTAAGTTCCTACCTTGGCACTGATGGATTTAGCTCTTGACAACACCACGCATAGATTGGTTTTATTTCTTCTCGGACACTAATGCTCCTTTTTGTTATTATTCCCAGGCTTTTTTTTCGCCATACGCATTATAAGGCTTTTCGGTTTCCTGAAAACTGTCCGCTATTTGTGCTGCACTTCCATTAAGACAGTTTCATCTTTGCTTTTCTTTTCATTTTAAGTATTTACTTCTCCGTATCTTTGCGCTTTTATCAAATAAATGCGGGATTATGTGAAATTTCTTCATAATGAGACCACACCGCAGCAATTGGCATTTGTGCTGTGTTCTGGTACGGTACGGCCTGGTACGGTTTGTCTATTTGTTGTCTGCGTGTCCGTCTGTCGGTGCTTGTATTAAGATACTTATTAATGACACCTGAAAATGTGAAATGTGATCCACTCCACGCACTTTGCTCAACGCTGCTCGGCCATTGCTACACTTGTATGCGCTTCGGCGGTAATTCTTACCTACAGAGAGCACTTCTCAGGTTTTACTATGGGCTCAGCATAGTGTGGAATACTTTTTGATACCTGATGAAATGTTGAGATTTGGTTTTGTTTTACATTTTGAAATGATTGCACATAAATTTTTTTTGGATTTTTTTTGGATTTTTTTTATTTGTATAACTTCCTTTTCCGTTTTTATCTGTTTTCTTATTGTGTTAGTCGTTCTGGGTTCTTTATTGTTCTATTATGATATTTATCTATTAACCTAATTTATGAGCTAAACTTACCCACACACATGTCCGAGTACATTTGTCTTTCTCATTATGCTGTGTGTTAGTGGAGAAGTCTATTATATTTTTTTTTTAGTGCAGTAAATAAAAATAAAAAGCCAATAAAATTATTAAAAGTTATAAAAAATTTGAATTAAAACGTATCTTAGAAGTGAGATCTTATTTCACAAGCGGCGAAATCCTTTCATATATTGATATTTTTAACCAACAAGGGTACAATAATTTCCAATTGAATACCATTCCATTCATTTACTTCCCGACGAACACAAGTCAGTGTACTGGGACTGCCGCAGTTTTGTTAAGTAAAAGCTAAGGATTAATGTGAGTTCATTGTTTGTTGAGATAATCAACACAAAGGCGTAATTTATTCGATTCGAATAGGTGTTAATGAGTGTGAGTGAATATTTTGTGGAACGTTTAAGTAGAAACTTGGTAAAAAGCAAAAAAAAAATGGAGCTATTATTATACAGTTGTGAATATTTTGATAAGTAAGTATATGTCAGTATTGGATAGCCTTCTTTCGTTACCGAATACCTTTGAATTCAGTTAATTCTTCGATACATATTTACGGATCCATTCTGTGCACTTGACAGATTTGTCAAATTCTTTAATAAAATTTTTGATTTTTATAAAGCAGAAAGCTTTTCGGTATTCTGGACACATCTTGACAAATTTCAAAGCTCAAGTACTTAGTGGTTCTCACCACACTATGGTGTAAAGTGTTTTGTATAGAAAACTGTTCGTAATTGTTCGTAA